TAAGATGGCACGGGATTCTAGGAGTGAATCCCAACCATCTCCAAAACGCGAAGCTCACTACCGCGTTCAATTTCCCAAGTGCAAAGCTTGAGCCAGCGTCAGAAAGCCCGAACCTCGCGTTTCAAACATCAAACGCGAAGGTCACTTCAGCGTTGCAACTCTTCTAAATGTAGAACCTGCACTTGTGAGCCCTCTTAACAGAGTGTTAGTCAAAACCTCTATATCTCTTCAGCAGAATCTAAATTCTCATTGGGTTAATACTACACCCCAAAACCTACTTATCAATTCTCGTTAATAGAATGATAAGTCTCCAAATCATTGTCAATTTATTAGCTCTCCTCAGCAAAGCAATAAATAACCTGTTTTCAGTAGGATAACAAAACTCCCTAAGATCTTGTTCAAATCACAAGTATCACAATTCATCGCTCCGATGATAAAACACTTAGCAGTTCTCCCCAGTGAGACGCTATAACATTCTTTCCCCATACCTGTCACGTTAACGTCACACCTCTGACAAAAATCAACTTATCGATTCTCGTCAATAGAACGATAAGTCATCAAAATTGCCCTGATCGCAATATTTCTCCTGTCACGTTAAAATTATACCTTCGACAAAATCAACTTATCGAGTCTCGTCAATAGAATGATAAGTCCTCAAAATTGCCCAGATCGCAATGATCCTCCTGCCAAGTTAAAACTATACCTCTGGCACACCCAGATTTCTTTCAGTGATCAAAACAGAAATAACACAGGAAAAATTTTATTAGTCAACCCCATTATGGGACTATTCGTCCTCAACAGTTTGAAACTTTCTAGAGTTGTCTTAAACGATAATAAAGAGAGTTCTCTGCATCAGAACCATTGTGGAGATCTATTCTAAGTCAGGAATACATCTCAGGCATTTCTCGTGACTTGTATTTAAAATCAAAACATGATAAATGCAAGAAATAATGAGAGACCAATATCACTTTTTATTCAAGAACTAAAAAAAAGTGATACAAAAAAAAACTTTGTTCTTGTCAAAAAAAAAAAAATTACAGAAGCCAAACTCACCCACGCGTTCCAATCCTCAAAGGCAGAAATTGTTTCTGTGTTTGGACCGCTATGATAGTAGCTTCTTGACTACCAAGGCTACGACACAGCCCCAGATGAATAAAAGAAGAGCTACAGTAATCGTCAAGGCGACCAAAGCCGGGAAGAAACCAACGACTCCACTGGGGAGTCTATTGGAGGAGTACAGATAGATTACAACCAACAACAGTGAAATCATCTGGCTCGATCAGACGGAGGGAGCAGTCAATCTACTAAATTTTGGGATCCAAAGTATTCCGAAAATTCATCCCAGTCAACCGCGAACTTTCGAAAACTTTGGAGGGGATTCTGTAGGCTGTCTAAAAATCACAATGAATAGCTGACCCCTATCAAGCTCCGACAAGGGAAGTCACAATCAGACGACTTTCTAATCACTGCATCCGCAACTCCACAATCGCCACAAACACGACCTCATTCCTGAGATGATTGATCTTGATGGCTGCGACAACGGCACGACTAATATTATATTAACAATTATTAGAGATGCTGATGAGCAGTGTAATGATTTTAGAAATGAAAGGTCGGACTTATTTGGTGAGTTGCTTGGTAGAGAGCTGTGGGCAAATATCCATCTAAAGACACTATGGATGTTGATTCCTGTCAAGTTCCTACAACGAAAGCTACAATCAAATAGCTTTCGCGCCGACAATCGAAAGTTGGTGAGTTGCTTGGTAGAGAGGTGTGGACAAATATTCATCTTCAAAACACTATGGATGTTGATTCCCGTCAAACTCTCACAATGAAAGCTACAATCAAATAGCTTTCGGGTCGACAATCGAAAGCGGCAAATAGAGGACTCTTCACATAAGATCGAGAAGAGTTACAATTCAACGACATTTCCGACAACTGATGAAGAAACTCTATTCAGCAGTCTTCACAATATACAGTGAAAGTTACAATCTGACGACTTTTATACCCTACAACAGCTAAAGCCAGGATTACTGAACAACGGTCTTCGCGAAGCTTCACAGAAGAAGTTGCAAGTCAAAAGGCTTCTTCTGAAACGCGGATGTCATCCCCGCGTTACAACTCTGGAAGTGCAGGCAACCCCCGCGTTTCCAAGCCACAGGCCAAACGTGAGTGACCCTCGCGTCCGTAGGGGTTCAACCAACGCCGACCCCCGCGTCTCCAAGCAGCAAGCTGAACGCGGGCGACCCTCGCGTTCGTAGGGGTTCAACCAACGCCGACCCCCGCGTCTCAAAGCAACAAGCTGAACGCGGGCGACCCTCGCATTCGTAGGGGTCCAACCAACGCCGACCCCCGCGTTTCCAAGCAGGCAACAAGCCAAAACGCGAGCGACCCTCGCGTTCAATGATGTTCAGCTAACACCCAACCTCGCGTCTCAATTCTAAGAGGCGAAGTTGGGTGCTAAACGCCAGATTGGGCGTTTGACTCGTTCAAACATGAGTCGAACGGTTTCAGAACCGTTTATTCCACGTTCTGAGGGATTTTCGCCCACGTAGGAGCGGATATAGGGGTCAGTTACAACCTCCTATCCCCCTATAAAAGCTCAACGAACCCAACAGAACAGAGGGTTGGATTTTCGGTATCTGAACCACAGAGGTTGGATTCTGAAGATCAAAACCGCATAGGATCTAAACCATTCGGGTTGGGCGATTCAACAGCAGCAGCGAAATCCTTGGAGATAGGATTTTTGAATCACACTCAGAAGATCAAATCTGGGAGGATTCTTCTACAACAGAATAACAGCTTGATCATTAACCGAATTTTCGGTTCTAACAACTCTATTCACAGAGTTCTAACTCGTTCAGAGTTCTTAAACTCGTTGAAGAGTTACTTATAAAACTTTCCACAGAAGTTCATCGTTCCCACGAGATAGAAGACGGTCGGATCGTCAACGGAGAGCAATTTCGACGCGAGCAATCGAAGGAAGCATTCCATCGCTACCGAGAAGAACCCAGTCTTAAACAAAGGAGAGAATCAAATTCGTTCTCTTCTCTTTTGTAATCGAATTGTAATCGGAATCAAAGAAATACAAGTCAATTTTCTTTATTCTTTTCATTGCAATTTTCCTTACACACACTTCCTAAATAAAAAGACCACTAAAATAAAGTGACTTTTCTAAAATAACTAAAAACCAGAATTTTCTAGCTCAGCTGAGCCTGAATACGAGTTTCTTTGAACTTGAAGCTTATTTGGAACTTATAATCAATTTTATGTGTAGAGAACTTTCTAAGCTTTCCAAAAACATATTATAATAAGGATTATATGTAGCGAGTCAAAAAATATCATCCTCCAAAGTTGCATCTCGAGATCTATCCGAAATTACCCGTTTTGCTTCAATTGTCCCGCTTTCACATGATCGAATTTTTTTCAAAAAAACATTAATTATTCCCTCCGCATCAACTAATTATGAGCCTAACAAGAAATTGAAACGTATGTTTGTCAGTTCTTGAGAAAAGAGGTTGAAGTAAGAACGAATTATGCTGGTTTTATTAAGCGGAGAAGCAAGCATACATGCGTTCACTGATAATTGGTCCCAACAATTAAACTAAACAGAATGAGAGTTGAATACACGTCTAACTTTGTTCATGTCACCCTGCTTTTGTTTTCTTAGTGGCTTGCGCTCATCCTTAATATTAATTATGTTAGAAGTTGTCACAAGGTATGTTAGGGGAAAAAAAACCAGAAAATGAAGGGAATAAACTAATAAAAGTTACGATCTAGGTCGTATATTAGTGAATCATGAAAATTGTTGCTCTGCTATTTGAGAACTAGTTTTTACCCGTGTGAATGTGATCCACAAAACTTAGCAATTAGCATCACGGTATTTTCAGGTGTTTTTGTGAAAGTTGAGGATCCATTGTAAGAATTTCTTATAGCATGATTAACAGAATTTAACACTCGTTTACATACTAAAACGAGATTGAATAAAATGATACATACCTTCTTCCATTGTTGAATGTAATGAACACCGAATTGCCGATAATTGTTCTTCCTTGTCCACTCCACAACACAAAACCGAGATGATGGATCATTATCACAGTGCATGATTATTGATCATACATTGTGTGTGGACTAGTGACTCTCTTTATAGAACTCCTACCATCAACTCAAGGAGTTCATAACTACCATGACATGTCATAGAAAATGAATAATTACGTGGTCACTTTCCCCTTTCAGTATTTCCTCTGTTATGTTTAGGGGCTGTTTGGTTCGTTTCCTTGATATAGAGAAATGCAATTCCATGTAAAAAAACACAAGTTTTGAGTTTTCCAAACTTTTCCAAGAAATAGATTGTTTTGCTTTGGTTCGCATATAAAAAATGGTGGGAAACCAATGTATTTATTTTTCTTGTGTTTGGTTCGCATAGAAAAAAAAGGAAAACTTTTGTAAACAAAGCAGAGAAGGAAAAAAATCTGACGTGGCAGAGTTTTCATCAATTTTACTTGGTTGGGGAAGGAAATCGGAGAGGAAAAAAATCTTAGTTGGCGGCGATTTCAGCAGAGTTTTTCCTCTTCCATTCGAGCGAACCAAAGCGGCACAAAGAAATGGACGGAAACAAAAACGCTGACGTGGAGGGCTAAAAATCTGATGTGGAGGGGTTTTCTGAGTTTTTCACCCCTTATAATAGCGAACCAAACAGCCCCTAGATTCTAACCAGTTTCTAAATAAACAAATACATTTATTTATTTCCACTTTTAACCAAAATCCTCTTCTTTTAAAGGGGTTTCGATTTGACGAGTTCTGAATGACACATTAGTATTTTTCAAGTTTGTAAAAAATGAACAACATAAGAAAGGCCTCTTAAGATAGTGGCCTAGCTAAAGCCCACTACAATGTGGGCTGTAATATTAAAATATATTCTGACTAATACTCACAATAAAAGCCCAGCCCACTAAGACGAAGCATTAGGGCAGTTCATATAATTTCAACGGTTGAGATCATCACAAATACGTCGATGCATTCCTCTAAAACCCGACGCTAGGGTTTCATTCCTTTGACCTCGATAGCCTCCGAGCTCCTCAGCCTAATCCATTTCCCGCCGATTCATCGTCATCAGCAGCGGAACAATGGTGAAGGAACGCCGAGGAGAACGCGTTAGGTTCGCTCCAAACCCTGATCATCTCTGATCTAATCTCTCTCTCTCTCTATTCAATCTCTCCAAGTTTTTGATATTTTAATTTTAATTTTTTGGTCGAATATTTGAATAAGGTTGTACGTGAGGGGAACGGTTCTAGGGTACAAGAGATCGAAGTCGAACCAGTACGAGAACACGTCGCTGCTGCAGATCGAGGGGGTGAACACCAAGGAGGAGGTCGCTTGGTACTGTGGAAAGAGGTTGGCTTACATTTACAAGGCCAAGGTCAAGACTGGAGGCAGCCATTACCGCTGCATTTGGGGCAAGGTCACTCGCCCTCATGGAAACAGTGGCGTCGTTAGGGCTAAGTTTAGGTCCAACTTGCCCCCCAAATCCATGGTGAGCAGCAAAAATTGTCTTTTTTTTTTCTGGGTATTAGTTCTTTTCATGTTTATTCGTTTTGATTTTCTTTTTTTTTCTTTTTCTTTAGGGAGCGAAGGTTAGGGTTTTCATGTACCCGAGCAACATCTGAGGTAAGTTGAGGAAAATTCATGAGCTGGTTATATTGCAGTTAGGCTGTTAACTTCCTGTTTAGTTTTCGTTTTAATAGTTTTATTCAGTGAAATTAGATTGTATTAGGACTGTTTAAGGTGTTTGACTGTGATTTTAAGTAAGGGTGCACTTACCTTTGGTTTTTGGGTAACTGATGGCGTCTTACCACATTGACACAATACACGAATTTCTTATTAATGTTGACATTGCCTGATTAATTGATCTCGATCCATTTCGGTGCGGCATGTCAAACTTCTTATCATCTTTTGTCCACTCAGATAACGGCCTAAGATGCTGATTCAGTGACTGTCTTATATTTTTAGCGGGACTGAGGTTGTTGGAACTATTTTACAACAAGGTTCAGAATATAAATTTAGTTAAGAGGAAAGACCCAAATGGATTTTAATGGACGTTTTTAATAATTCATGCCATAGATCAAAAACACTAAAATGTATAACAAAACAGTCATGCACTTGTGTTGATGTGTCCATACCCATCTCCTATCCAGAGTTCTCCATTCCTCATCCCTGTGTCCATACACTGCATTCCTCTGCCTTTTATTTTAACCCCGTTTTAACCCTATTTTTCTCATATTGAAGGTTCAGCTGATCAATTAGGGTATGGTTTTCATATGAGGACTTTGAGGTAAAATCTTAAATTGTTGGGTGTTCCTTGGAGCTTTTTCAGGATCCATGATATGCATTGGGTTCCATAAATTTTATAATATGATAGGTTGAGTGGCTTCGTAGTATTGGGTTATAGGGGTGGCAAAAGACGCTTTACCTCTTGCATTATCCATGCGTAGGGGTTACGAGAGGATCACCTTCTCCCTTGGTGTCACCGAACTACTAGTTAAGCTAAGAGAAAAATAGATGACAATGATAGGTGTAATGTTGATCTAATGTGTGAAAAAAAAAATCATTTTTTCAAGTTATTCAGTTGAGAGAAAATAAATATAAATGTTTTTCTGAAAAGGCCTCACTGCTGGCCGCTTTTGTTTCTTTAAGAGCTCCCACCACTGTCAAGCTAGCGCTTGACTGAAGACATCATGGGTGGCCACTGAGATTGCTGGAAACACCCCTTCAAAAGAGTCGAGTAAAGGGCAGTGAAGGATCTGGTAGAAGGAAAAATCTCTCTTCCTCTTCTTCTCTCCTCCTTCCTCACAGCACTCAAAAGAAATAGATGGGGTTGGGTCAACTCATAGCTTCTATACATGGACAAGGTAACATACAAATGTATCTTGCCGCCTCTATAATCCAAGTTTCCAATAATGCCAAACCAGTCGATCCATCACTTCATGGCATTCAGTCCATGTCATGTAGCTTGGGAATCAATGATACACCCAACATTTTATACCCTAAATTAATAAACATAGGAAAAATGGGTTACTAGTTACTTTACCTTATGTGGGAACATATTAATGGTTCTTACTGAATCATTTCTTCTGTTAACCTGAGTCCATGAGTCCTTTGTAGAGCTAGTAAATTAGATGCTGTCTCAGATTCTTCTGCCTCCTGTTTATAATCGTTCATGTTGACACTGTGTTCAGCTGTTCACGCCTCTGTTGACTCTTAAAATTCCAGCCTCATTCAGCTGTCCAGATCATAACTGCTATTGCTTGAATTTCCTGCATTTGATTGGAATTCTAGTATAATCTTTAGTGAACTTCAAATGAAATGGAAGCTGAAATGGAAGCTTAAACTAATCCTTCTATAGCAAGTAGGTTAGAATACACATTCATATTGGTAATCCTCTGTCAAAAAAGAAGATTTGCAATGCTTTTGTTGTCTCTCCAATTTAGCACTGATATCTAATAGAATAGATTTCACCTTTGTTGAGGAGATCATACTGATATCTACTAGAGCAAAATCCAATTACGTACTCTTGTTTCTCTGTCCGAAATGAGCAAGACCATGTGGGAAGCCAAGAACACATAGAATCCGACTAACCTGGCCTTGAAAGTGGAGTTTATGCTTGTTGAAGGCAGCTTCTGATCTCTAGATTATCCTAGAATGCGCAGCTCAAGATCCTTGAACTTTGTTGCTGAATTTAAATTGAGATTTTGCAGCACTTGCTTTGAGCTTTTCCAGCCTAATATTTTCCTATTAAATCTAGTGTAATCAAGTGGTCTGTACAGAGGGGGGGGGGGGCGCGTATCCCTTTTCTTTTAGTTCTCTTCTTACTATTCGTGCAATTTACTTTTTCATTAGCCTTCACCAATTATCACCAACTCATTGTTCCTTTAGGTTTTTTAATATGTTGGTTACTCAAGATGTACTTTTGCTGGTGCCTTGACCGAGAACTCAGTTTCTTTTAGTTCTCTTCTTACTATTCGTGCAATTTACTTTTTCATTAGCCTTCACCAATTATCACCAACTCATTGTTCCTTTAGGTTTTTTAATATGTTGGTTACTTAAGATGTACTTTTGCCGGTGCCTTGACCGAGAACTCCATTTCTTTTGTTTACTGCATCTGCTAAGGGACTGTTTGGTTGGTTTCCTAAAAATCAAGAAAATGAAATGGGTATGGGGAAATGAATAAAATATTATTTTCATCCATTTTCATCCCTAAAACTCACCACAACATCCAATAAAATATTATTTTCATCCCACAACTCATCTCATATCATCTCCTAAAAATAAACCAAACACAAGAAATGGGTCACATCATCCAACTCATCTTATCTCCATCTCATCTCATTTTTAAAAATCACCAATATCATCCAATAATATGGTGACAACTCATCTCATCTCATTAACATTTCATTTCCACCCATTTCCTCAAAAAAACCAAGGAAATTGATTTTCTTAAGTGTTGGTCACATCATCCAATAATATAATGACAACTCATCTCATCTCATCTATTTTTTTTATAGGAAATATGTTTCTTATAATTCATTTCCTTATTTTTTAGCCAACCAAACAACTTCAAAACAAGTTTTCTTTAAAAATCACCCACATTATCCAATAATAATGTGACATCTCATCTCATCTCCCATTCTTTGATTTCCTTCTTTTTTTAGCCAACCAAACAATCTCAAAACAATTTTTCTTAGAAATAGGTTTCCAATTTTTTGATTTCCCTCTTTTTTTAGGCAAACAAACAGACCCTAACAAGAACACTACAGATATCTTACTTCATTGCCCCATGTTATTTTCTATGGTTTATATACGCAATGCAAGCTAGATAAAACTGTGCTAATTGTGCTCCTTGTTTTACTTTTTTATGCGAGAGAAAATGCATTTAATAATTTCGTTATAATGCTTATTTATGGTTTACAACTGTCCTTAATGGGTAGTATTCTAATGCTCTTTTTTCGCTCCGCTGCAGCTTATCACGCTGGTGAAGTGCGCTTTGGCTGGAACGGTGAAATTTGCTTTAGTTGCTTTCTTAGGATTATCAAATATATTCAATGGTTATCTAATTAGTTATTGAAATATGTGTATTTGTTTGAAACAAAACATTTTTAGACTTTCTGCATAGACTATATAGCCTTCTGTTTCTCTCTTAGAACTAAACATCGCCTTTGTTGTGGTGTGGTAATATTTGAGTTAGTTGGGCAAGTATCTTTGATGCTGAGGTGCGGGCTACTATTACTTAGTTGCCGCAGCAAACGTATTTGATTTGTGTTATGGTGTCAGGGATTGTTGTGATTGCTTAAATTTCTGCTCACTAATAATCTCTTTAGTTGATGGGAATGCATAGTTTCATCTGTATATCAGAGGTCTTAATCTTCAAGTAGTCCTCTATCAAATGAATTCTCTTTGGGATTGGTTGTTTAATATGTTGAAGTTGTTGAATATGTCTGTACTTGCAATATTGATATGCTACTGAAATCTTCTTCCCTGAGGGGATTTTTATTTCTTCAATTCTCTTTGAGACCGTTAAAAACGTTTAGGTCTAGCCTTACTGTAATCTGACAGTGTCGCTTAACACTTAACAGTCTTCAGGATATTCTTAAAAGATCCAACAATATAAAAAGCCAGCAAAAGAAGAAACTGAGCTAAAAAAACACTCCCCCTGGCTTGCAGCTTTCTTTTTCTTTTTCTCTCTTTTCTTTTACCTATGAAAATAATGTTCTTACAACCCAAATTATGTTTTTTTTA